GCAATAACTCAACAACGCCGTAACCGAATTTCAAAAACCAAACATGAAATGATATCAGAATTTAACGTAGCATCTGAATATGTAATGATATACAGGGCGTTCTATTTTAAAAAATGGAATTTGGGTCTGTAGCACCTACACCAAACACCCTGTATATTTAAAAATTATATCAAAATATAGCTCTCATGAACGCCTAAAACTTTTGTATGAAACATTTTTGTGTATCTCCTTCAACAAACCAGATATTGCCTGTCACATAAAATGTGGGACACCCGGTATATATATAACATTCGGGCTTATGAAAATCATCATTGATATTCGTCAGATGATACGATAACGAGTTGTCAGATGACAGAGCTGACAAATACAGTCTGGAAATAACTGTTGAAATCGTTGAAATTGTCCAATAAAAGAACAAGTGTACGATCATTAGAAACCAAATAATCGCGAAGGCCATCATCAATAGTTTTATTAATTACGTCATTAACCACTCCAAAATTTAATAATCAACAGTGTGACGACCCATCGGTTTACGTAATCGGTCGGTGCTAATCAGTCCGTCCAAATATGAATGTTTCACACACTTCGGGCCCATCCCGTGACCATTGAGCGAAACATTCTCCATCGACTTTTACGTTCACACGTAGCAAAATACTTTCAGATACTCACGCGAGAGCGCATTTCGAATTCCGACGATTTGCATAGAAATCCGTCCCCCGCGGACAATTTGCATCGGCGGAGGTATTTGACCCCATTTATGATATTTAGATACAATAGCAACCAAAATACAATGGCTTTTGTACATACCGATGCCAGCATGTCAATTTGTATTCCTTACGTAAGTAGTATGGAAGGGTAGGAGTTCCACCGACGAGCCGAAACAAAAATTTTCACATCGATTAGGTATAAACTTCATTACTCTGGAATCACTAGCAACTTAGAAATTGTAAATTGGCATAATAGTTTGTAGTCGAATGAAAAAAACGAGGAAAAAAGTACCTAAGTGTGTGAAACAAACATTTTTTTTCAAGGACATAACACAAGCACTATAGGCAAATTCTTGAGGCGCTCTAAGAGCGGTGCCTGTGCGAAACTAGCGATTCACATTGGATTTGAATCGTTGAAGATTGAATCCATTCGGAACAACGTTCTCAGGAAGTTTATTCTACATAAACGCAGTTCTCCAAATGAAATAGTTCTTCAACAGTGGAGTTCGAGGTGTACTGAGTTGAACCTCAAAACGATGAGCAGCCACAGTCCTCGATAAAGCTAATAAACATTAGCGGAAGCTCGGGCAGCTGAAAAGAGTATCATTTACTTTTATAACAGACCTAATCCCCAAAAAACCACTCTTCTATAGGTTTATTCTTTATTCTCTGACACGTATAACTTTCCTCCCTCCGTGTCGGATACATTTTTTACCAAGCAGAAATGTTAGGGGGATCCGCATCCAAAGTTTGCCCAGAGTCCCGCAATTTCTAGGAAGTCCCTGTCAAGCTATCAGAAGAACTCATTTAAAGGCTAATTTCGTATTTTTTTTCAAAAATTTTTGCTCTTGACTTAACGGAGATATCGTGGGTTCTGCTAGCTCAAAGTTAAGCTAACAGAACCCAACCCAACCAACCATAGAATGAAACATTTTCTTGAATAAGACTTCGTCATAATTTTAGGCTCCGGTTGCCCCCCATCGCCGATTTTCTATGCGTTATCTTTTTTGTGGGTTCTGCTAGCTTTACCATTAAGGCCGGGACACACCTGTCATACACCCTTCAGATCCGACTTCCATCAGTCGGACGAGTGTCTGAGAGGGAAATGGTACTTTAGTCCGAATAGAGTAGGTAGTTCACATCGTTCCGATATGTGGCCAACCCCGCTCCAACCCGACTCCGATCCTGCATTCAATCATGATCCGATAGTGCAGCCTATTTGTTCTCCAGCTACGGGACGGGTATCGCTTGGAGTTTGTATGATATTTGAGTTTTTCGTTTTATTCAAATTAAATTTGAAAAATGTCATTAAAACTGGAGGAGCTTATTGAACAAGTCAGAAAATATCCAGTTCTATATGACCAGGCTGAAGAGCTGTACCGCTGTTCTCTATAAGAGCTCTCCGATTTTCCTCATCTCCTTCCCCCAAACAGATTGCCTTAATAGCTAAATCGCAGTTGGTAAAATTCTTGAACATTTTGCTTAGAGAACCTTCCTAGATATTGTATGAATCGACACTGGCGAGAGTGACAAGTGTATGAAACCGGAGTGATAAATCGGAAAAAAGTCGGAAGCATGTATGTGATTACCCACCGGCGATCCTGCACCGATCCGCTTTTGGGGCAAAATCAAACCGGAGTCGGATCGGAGAGGTGTATGAAGAAGTGTTTCCCGGCCTTAAGGCGGCAGAACTAAATCGAAACTCTTCACTTTTGAAAAATTTCAACTTGTAATAATTTAAGACTCATTAGGCTCCTTCATTACGATATTGAACATTGTGTGCGCCTCGTTTGAATTAAATATTTGCAGTGATTACCTCAGACATGCGATTAAAGCCGGAATTTTTTTTTTTATATTTTTCAACTATGGGTGTCAAAAAATATATTAAGAATTTTAGGTTCCTATTCCTATTCATCGCCGACTTTCCATATGTGTCCGTGGTATTCACCCAAATATTTAAGTCAAACGAGGAGCAAAAAAATGTGTTCAATATCGTAATGAAGGTGTCTAAAATGAACCTAAAATTATTGCAAGTTCAAATTTTACAAAAAGTGAAGGATTTTGATTTGGTTCTACCTTCTTGAAGGTAAAGCTAGCAGAACCCAGATATTTGAAAAAACGCTTTAGTCTGAAAATATTTTTCTTTGGTTGGGTTTTGCTTACTTAACGTTAAGCTAGCAGAACCCACGATAGATCTGTTGAATATCGAGTACAAAATTAGCCCAAAATAATAGCCCAAAAATTAATATGAAAATTCTCTAGCTTAACAGGGGTTCGCTAGGGTCGGCCTTATAAGTATCTGAAATCGAGTGTAATACTAAGAATCAAACTGTATTTTTTGTATTTTCTAAAAATACTTTAATCGTAGGTAACTATCCACAAAAACATTTAAATTGTCTAATTTTCAATATAATGCAGCAAGGAAATCTTATTACCTACCTATATGATACAATATTTGAGGGAGGCCGACCCTTTCTATATGCGTCACTAGAAAAACAATTTTCAAGATAGATATTTTGGTAGATCTCTTGTATCAGGTGAATCGAATGGAAAACCATGAGTTTATTCAACACGGGCGTACCTACATTCAGAATTTCCAAATTTTCACTGAGGTGGTAAGAAAGGCAAAATACCCCCTTTCCCCCAATTCACGCCTAAGTTAATTGAGCAGGTTTTTTTGTAAAAATTTTTAAATTTCATGTGGTTCCCAATTTAGTTTGAACGGTAATATTCAGAGAAAATATCACAGAAAAATGTGTAGAAAACATTTGAAAAATTATTCTTTTTTGTTATAACATTTCTATAGAATTAAATACTCCTAAGGTAAAGCCTGGGGTAAAACAATTATTACTATTATATAATTCGTTCTAAAAACACTCGTGGAAGAATCTAAGCAAGATCCAAAAATAAACATAAATTTTTATTAGGTGTACACCTTCAATAGAAAACCATATTGCTGACGATAGACAAATCGAACACTGCAAAATATCGATGCCCTTGAACGTATTGGCAAATGTTCAAATATCTACCTTATCACTGCTAATTTCTCACGGGTACTAACAATATAAAATTCAATATTATTATACTCACATCATCCGTAAGTCACGTGGAAACAGTAATCTTATCAGTAGAAGACGTAAACAAAATAAATAGTTTGTAAACACTTGAAGAACGACACCAAAACCGTCACAAAAACACTCTCAACGTAACTTCGCAAAACTAAGGCTTACTTTGGCAGTTGTTTTCACCGCACACGGCATACTCGCAAGCAGGTGAACGTGTTTGCTCCCACTATTTCCTTTCTTACTATACCTGGTGTAGAGGTTCGTTCAGTAGATAGGCAGTTGCATTACGATATTACGATTACGCTGTTATAGATAGGTTTCGAGTGGACAGGTTGGATCTAAATGACACACAGGGTGACAGGGTGAACCTACTCCTTCATGAGAATCAGGGATTGAATTCCACTGATATTGTATTCGTTTGAAAATGTCCTTAGAGGACGAAATTGCAGTAACATAGTTACAAAGGGCTCATTTATCAATTTTTTTTATTTCATAATTTGAAAGTTTATGTTTCAAATAGGTAGTACATCGGCAAAAAATTTGAATTTTCATCTTTATCTTCCCCCACAAATTAATTGTTGAATGTGGCGTTCACCGAAACGGGGCGTGGTCAAGCTTGACGTCACATCAGTCGACTCGGCGATAAGGGAGTGCTGGTGGATAAGCAAAATACGTGTGCTAAAGCTGTGGAAAGCAAGTTGTGTGTTGTTTACTGCAGTGTGTCAACTGCGTGAATATGAATAATGATAAAAAATAACGTTACAAGTATTGCATTGTTCCTAAATGCAAGAATTCTTCGGTAACTGCACCAGACAAAATTTTTATTTCACTGTTACGAAAGTTATGGCAGCGCGCTATGCGAAGGGCCGACTTTGTATCTGCCAAGGGGACGCATTTTTGTTGTATGAATGATAATGATTAATAAAAATAATTATAGTTTACTCTGAGCACTATTTTGAATTTTAGGTTTAAACAGACTTAGAAAATTACATGTAGGTATATGAAAACTATGAAAGTGTGAAAAATTATATTGAAACCAGGCGTAATTCTGCATATATTTGATTGCCAGATTGATAGACCGATGGCCTATACATCTCAAGCTCCACCGTGTGTTCAAAAAAAGGAAAAACAAATTTTGTTGAATACTTGTAACGAAGATATCGCTGGTGGTGTGACGTCACCAGGCAAACCTACCGCGGGCGATCTTACATTTTCAATTGCTCTTGCTCAGATGTTAATTAAGATATAAACCGGAAAATTTTGTGGGATACTTGGGAGATGATTCACTTTCATAATATATAATTTTCAATAAAAAATAAATTAGTCTTAATGAGCCCATTACGAGTGGATTAAAAGGAAGTTTTATTTCTCATTTTTCATGATGATCTCCTACCATGTAGTAACGGCTACATCCATCAATTTATTAAAATTCATATGGTTACCAATGAGATAATAAGTTTCAAGTAATAATTCTGTTAAACAAAAATAGGTAGGGTATAAATTTGTTGTTGGCGGTCGGTAGCCAGACGGTTCGACGTGGCTGCTTTGTTCACTCACTCGAATTGACTGCCGTTTTGGTCGGTGGTTCAAGCCCTTGTCTGAACGGTCGATTTTCACTTGCTGTCGTCCAACCCGTGTTACGAATCACACGTTAAAAGGTAAGACGTCGTTAACTTTAGCTCGCACAAATTTCGACTTCTGAGGATTGTCGTTCGAAGGGGTGCGACATCTGGTTAACGGAAAAACAGATATTTTTTTTTAACATTAGACATTTTTTACTTGAAAAAATAAAAAAATCTCAACTGTTTATTTTCAATATCAGAATTGTCCTATAGGAAAGTTATGAAATTCCTAAGGGTAGATATTCACGAAAAATGTATTTTCCTAATCTATATGAAAAATATTCCAATGGATTTCAGTGGGATTGTTTCCCATACCATTTGGCACAACAATTTCTCGATGTGGGAATTGTTCTCTTTTTGTTACAAATACATGTACTAAAATAATCAATACTGGTGTCACCCACAATAATATTCTTCAGCCAGTAGAAGACTGCAATGAAGATTTGAAGATACTTATTTGAACTGATTCAGCATGTTGATTTAGACAATCAATAAATAGGCCAAATTCAGATATGAAGTGAGAAGGATCATAAAGAGAAAAGTTATAAGAAATTATTATACTCGATGAACACTATACATATAATGAATAGAACACAAAGAACTCGTAGAGTCAACATAATGAATAATAATTGTTCAAATTTAACTCAAAATTAATTCACCACTCAGTCAAAATAATAAAATTTGTAAAAACTAATAATTTACTGATTATCAGAACATCTTGCAATATATTCTGTCTGGAGCTATTGCAATTATTTCATCTATCTAAAGCAACGGTCAGCAACAGGCGGACCGCGAAAGTTCGAACCTCTGACCGCCAAATATTGTAATGTGTTATACATATACCAAGTATAAATTAATACGTCGATAAGGTATACTATACCTTTATTACAAGTACCTACAACCAAGGGCGTAGCGAAAAGAAAAACCAGGAGGGGGGGGAGGGAATCCAAATTTTCCCAACTCCACCAGCAAAATTTACCAACTTTCGAAGAAATGAAAGCCGAGGGATTAGTTACCACTATAATATATTAATTTTCTTACTTAGGTATCCAAAGATTGGCTGAATGCTTATGCCTGTTAGGGTATGCACAAACAAAAATAAATTTTGGTGATTATAAAAATAATAATGGGAATTATTCTACTTTGGACCAAGGTACTTGGTCTTCCACCATGTATAGGAATATTCAAACCAAATGAAAGGAAACAGTACTCAAATAGTATTGTGCTTATTGTTTTCTACTATTATTTTTTCTATCTTCACGGCCCGAAATTTCCCAACTTTTCCAAATCGGATAAACAGTGAAAAGTTGTGGATTTTGTAAAATTGTCACTTCCCTTTTCTTATTACCTCTCCTTTTCTTTTCTCTCATTTTTATTGTTTTAATTTTTATTCATTTCTTTACTATTATTTTTTTCAATCTTCATGGCCCAAATATTCCCAACTTTTTCCTAAGTCGAAAAAGCAGGTTATGGTAGGACTTCTGAAGGTTGTCGTTCACAGGAAGACGACGGATGTCAATAGTTTTTTATTGTTTATTGCCCTGATTTACTTCAAAGAATATAACTGGAGTTTTATCCCAACATCAAAACATTATTTTCAACACCTCCACACATGTTTTGATCATCAAGTGATCATCTTTAAGAGGTAGTTTAATCTTCCTCATAAACTTGAAGTTTACGACCACGAGCCGCAGCCGAGACAATAGTAGCCATTATACGCGAGTAGAATATTATACTTTATCCACGACCAACAAAAATTTTTGTTGAATTTTTTTTTTAGAAAATTTTGTTACATTGCATAAATATTTTTAAAAACACTATTATTTTATTCTATCAAATATTTCATACATTATTGTTCATCTATACACAGTACAGAGTTATCGAAAATTATAATAATTAACTAACCAAAGCAACCTTAAATAATGGGTACATTATACAAAAGTCGTGGATAAAATAAATCATTCAACAACCTCGAAAAACGACAAATATATTTAATCTTGTGTCACTTATATAACAGTGGAGGTCAGAATATCACAACACATTGCCATGTTATCTGTTATATACCTAGTGATAAGTATCTGGAATAGAATATCTCTTTTCCTCACTTTTGTTTTTTAACAGAAGAAATATCTACTATTCAAAAGAAATATAAGAATTACTAGTCGATTAAAAAAAGTTGAAATTTGTTAGATTACAAAAACAATGGTTTTTGGAAGATTGCCAACTGAAGATGGAGTTGCTTAAAATAAACTGAAGGATTTAAAATCGAAAAATTATACATTGTAATGATATACGATTTTTCTCTCTAAGCGAAAAGCAAAACCATGTCTAAAAAAACTTATTTTAATAGGAAAATTTTAATGTGCAAAATATCATATATATTGTCTTTCATTATGTATATGTCTGGTAAGATTTTGTTTGCATGGTGAGTTTTTAGCATAGTACCTAACATGTGTACCTGCTGTAAGGTATTTGAAACAAGTCATACACTACAAAGCCTTTAAGGATATCCAAATGACAAAGTCGAGAATTCGGAAAAGTCTGGAATTTACGAAATTAGATGCAAAATATTATAGACAAACTAAAAGATCCATTAAAATAAGATATAAGGAACACTTAGCACACCTAAAGTGTGGAAGATCAGAAAAAAATCAGCAGTCGCTCAGCATATTTTGCAACAAAACCATTCCATAGACTTTATTTCATTAAGATTAGTAAGACAAGTAACAACAGGCATCTAGATGCCTATGAGAATGTAGAAATAAGTAAACATAATAATGGTGGAGCAATACCTAATAGTATACTATATAGCTTGTTGAAAGAATATTATTCATCAGATTTACCTGGCCGTTAGATAAGGCAACATCATAAAATTAATTTAAAACTAGTAGATGAGGCAACATTGTTAAATTAATTTAAGACAATTGAGACGCGGGTACCTAGTACTGGTATCCATAGTATAAATAAGGACAATATTGTATGTAATTTAGTGTAACCTTACTCTTAAAGATGATCACTTTTTGGTTGAAACATGTGTCGAGTTGTTAAAAATACCTACTTGATGTTGGAATAAAACTTCAATAATATTCAAGCATTATAAATAAGTAATTTTAATTTGTATCACCTATTTGAAATAAAATATGGCATGATTTGCCAACATCAGACCGAAATAGTTACTTCACGACCAAAAAACCATCTTCCTTTGTTAACTAGAAAACTTATGGTACTGGAAAACAAATAGGATATAATGGTATTTAAATCTCTTGCTTATTATAAATGGGAAAAAAACAAAATAAATATTCAGTTGTAGTAATGCATAAAAATAATAAGTATATATTTACATGTGTTGACCTTAAAAAATATATCACAATTCACACAAAATATATAAATATAAATCAAATTTTGAAACTTGTTTGATCATTTCAAAATAAGAAAGAGAACTTTTGATGGTACACCCATTAAAGAGGGTTCCAGAAATTTATTGAAGAAGAAGCAACTTATCGACTTTTCTGAGCAGATATGCATGCAGTGATTAAAATAAGAATAGATTGTAATGAGACTCAGATATGAGAAAAGTGTACAGTATGGTTGCTTCTTTAGCTAAAGATCAAAGTCAATTGAAAATATAAAATAATGTGCTGTTTTGAATTCGGCCATAATTTCAAATTTACATATATAAATTGATATAAAATTTTTTGTAAGACTTAGTTTTCTCAAATATAACCAAAAGTACTTGGAGGATACCATCAATTATTCTTATTGATATTTTTACTTCAAAACAAACATAAAAAAATAAATTTGACTGTTGTAGCAAATCATTTTTTCTTTTTTCGATCAGTCTTGTTGAACAGATTGAGATATTTTCCTCTAGTAACTTCTTTGGATTCTTCGACTCCCAGTTGATAGGCGATATCGTGAAGTTCTTTCACTTTCCCTACCAACTCTGAGGTGGATAACGAGGCCAATTCTGAAAAAAATTAAAAAATTCGTTAAAATAAATAATGTATTGGAAGCCAGGCCGAAGGCCCACCACCTAGGAATAAGACCAATCAAGTTCTTTCGTCAGTATGAAGATATATAAAGTTAACGACGTGGGTGTAAGGTAGTAAATTCAAAGCTCTTGTGAAATGTCTTTGATGTGCTGCAAAAGAAAACTTTTTTTTCACTTTCAACTTGATCTAAAGGTGTTCCCATTCACATAAATAGAGAAATAGAAAGCAAGAATTTGCCAGATATTCTAAAATGTGCATTGTAAAAAAAGTATCCAATTTAATTGTATTTATGACTCAGTATTTTGATTATAGTGGCTACCACATATATGCTAACGCGGACTCCTATTTAGAACTATTTAAGATAAACAATCTTACGATACATTATCTGCATGTAACTCCAATGGTATAGGCAGCGCACGCTAAGATAGCTCTCAGGAAGCAAGAATTTTTCCCACTTACTCAATACTTATTTTTATATCATGACCAAAATTACACAAAACCTTTGTAAATGGTAGCCTATGTTATTCTTATGTATAAGCTGTAGTTATGTAAAGTTTCATCTAAATCCGTTCAGTCGTTTGGGCGTGAACGAGCCACATACATACATCCTCACAAACTTTTATATTTATAATATTAGTATAGAGCAGGGGTCTCCAAACTTTGAAGCCTTCGGGCCATAATGATTTTTTCAGTTTGTTCCAAGGGCCAATTTCTGCCCTTGACTATATTTCTAGACTAGGATAGTCGCAAAGCGCGTGACCTAAGCAAACTTACGCTTTTTTGCATTTCAATTATTATTGTGTATTGTGACACTTAACGACATCTAGTGGCGAGTAATGGTACTATGTACCCCAAATATGTACTATGATCCACAACTACAAAGTATTGTCGGTGGAAAATCACAATTACATAAATCTCATTAGTGTTTTTGTTTTACTGTGATTCATTTCAATTATTTGTTAGTTATTAATATGCTTAAACTTAGATACTTGAGTTAAGTTTTCTTTGTCATCATTTCTGTCGTTAAGTTTTACCTTGCAAGTAAATAAAACCGAGTAATTATCATTCTGTGTTCTCTTCTTCAACTTATCACAGCAACAGTAACAACAATTATGTGATAATTGGCTGTCACGGGCCGGATTGATGATACTGGCGGGCCGGATTTGGTCCGCGGGCCAAATCCGGCCCCTGGTATAGGGTATAGACTTACCCAACATACATGATCGGGTCATTACAAAATTTCACTTGGTTGTGTAATCTACTGTAATAATACATTTTTGCACTCCAATCTCTCAGATAAAGTCGTTCTCTTCACCTTTGAAATCAATTGTACCAAAGTTGTTTCTATCTGAACCGTTTATAACAATTATATTCATATTGCTCAAGGATTCTATCACTGATTCAAAACATTCCTATTCCAGCATACTCGAATGACATTCTTAGATTGCAAGAAGAGCTCCAGACTTCTGGCAATATCTAGCAGGACTGGGACATTTCAAGGCATTTATTAATTTTTAGACCCGTCCCGATATGGACTGATTCAGGTTTACAATGTTCGGTGGAGTGCTATCTCAGAGAACAGATCACTCACCAAATGAAATAAGAATCTGGATTTATTTGGTCGAGTCTGAATCGGCATGAGACATAATAAACTCTCGCTCGTTACAGTGGAGACTCGAATAGATCCACTCACTTTTGACCTTCCTACCTATAATCGAATGATCGTTTTGAAATAATCATTCCCAGTAGTAATAATAATGTCCAGTATTAATACTGCTCTCCACCAGTAACATCACTCGTTTTTTTTAACGAGAAAGACTTGGATGTAGCTGACAGAACAAATAATAATTGAAGCATTTTTCTTTAAGACAATGAAGACAAAACTTCAGTGTCGGAAAGATCAGGAGTATATAAGTTGACATATGGTTCTTGCCAAAAATTTCTATTGGCTAAATGGAAAGAACCTTTTTCCAAAGAATTTGTAATCTTTTGAAAGAGGGGTATGAGTTTAATCACGACTCTTAGAGGTAAGTGATTGTCATTCCTGAAAAAATATTCTCTTACATTTGGAAGAGAAAGGTTTGACACTCAATTTTTGGAATCATTAGAAATTGATATGACTCAAGAATTTCGAAAATTTACTGAATAACCAAAGAGATTTCAATTCTTCCTCTCTGTTGAATCTGTTTTTTAATGTGGGAATTGGTAATTCGGTTATTACATGTACATTTAATGAGTTGATAAAATATCTTTTGTTATGTTTAAATTCTCAATTAGTTCATATCTGAACTCTGGTAAAAATATCAGATATTAAGTAGAGAGTTTCTTTTATAATGCCTAGATTTTCAATTAGTTTATACATAAAATCTGGTAAAATTATTAGTCATTGATTAGATAGAAGGCCATACGATTCAAACTGATATTACATGAAACACTAATTAGGTAAAATTACGTTAATATGAACACGCCTGAGGAAGCTATTGTATAGAGAAACAAGTGTTGGGGTTTTGTGAATTTTTTGTAAAAATCCGAGTGAAAATATCACAATAAAGCGTTAGTTCTAAGATTGAAAAATTACCAACTTCGAATTTATATGTGATAGAATTATGTAAAGTAATGTGGAACCATTTAACGGAGAACTTTATACAGATATAGAAAGGGCAAACTTTTTAGTTCACCCCGATAAGTTACTGCGTAAATTCAAAGTATTTTTCACAAAGAAAAATTTTCTATTCATCAGTAACTTGTACAGATACTTGCATTAACGTTTCGAGGGCTAAAATTAGCCTCGGTCTTCAGATTTGGAAAAAATATAACGAATCTTGCAGTTTTTTCTTTGGTTCGTCCTCGATCGATGTCAAGGGAGATTTTTAACACAATCGCATAAAGTTTTCCATAACAGTTTTTATATTGTTCAGATTGTGGAAGGTGAAAAAACAAAACCCAAAAAAAGGTTGATGATAAAAAAGCTGACAAATTCATAGAAATTCAGCAAAAGGTCCGAGTCTTTTCACTTGGATCTCAGGTCGGTAACATAAAAAATTAAATCCAAATTACCAAAGTGAAAAAATTAATCACAGAAAGTCTACACATAAGTTGAGTGGCGTAAAAGAGAATCAACTCCAAAAATCAACCTATTGTATTGTGTTATTGTTCCATACCAGAATGGAATTTGTTGAAAAAATTGGGCCATTCTATCATGATTTCATCTAAAAAATGTACACCTTATCAGGTTTTTCCAAGGATGCTGTATCCGTCAATCATGGCAGGTAAACAAGAGATAAAACTACTCATAGATAAAAAAATACGAGAAATCCATGAAGTGAGAAATTTACTATTTATTCTGAAAAATATATTTTCAGATTTGCTAATGAGATAGCTTTCTCATCCCACAGTAAAAAAAATGTTGTTGAATATAGATAAGAGTAGTGCATAAAAATTCTTTAAAAAGAATGTTGATAAATACTCTCATGACTTCAGCAGCTTCCTCGAGCAACTAGCCTTAGGTATAACCGTCTGTAGCATCATACAAATACTAAGGAGTATTGCAATTTACATTTCATTTTGCTATTCAATCATTTTGTAATTTTAAGTATCCTCAAACTATAACTACCTATAATAAAACTAACTAGTCTTTTAGTAACAATAGTAATAGCCTAAACCTAAAGTTACTAAACGAAATATCGCACGTATTCAAAAATAAAATTCAACTCAAATGAAAGAAAATTGTCAGTTATCATAATTATATATATACAAGTATGGAGATCGTTCCAATCAATTTGTCATTCTTGACCACAGACCTAAAAAATAGAAATAGTGGTGCTTTCTCTTCAATTCTGATCACCACTAGACTGACTTCAGATATGCCACGAAACGGTCAAGTTCTTCATGTTCGTAAGGAAAAATGATGAAAATGTCTTCAACGTATCTCAGCCACAATTTGGACATTGGGCAGGGTCTTGGTTTTGAAATAGCCAAAGAAGAGGTAGGAGATGACAAAAAGCAAAACCTATTAGAGCACCTTCTATCTGTCTATAAAGTCTGTTGTCTAAGCTGAAATATGTAGTCTGAGTTCGATAACGTAAGCTGGTTGGACCTCGTTCATGGCTACCTGCTATGTTGGGGTACAAAGATGTTATATTCAGCCTGGCACATATAGCGTTTGTGTCCAACTTGACGTTTTTTATGAGGCTGATGAAATGCTCTGAGTTTTTGACGTGTGATTGTGAATGCTGTGTTAGTTATGCTGTAGTGGAGATCCATTGGCGCTGACGGGTCATACAGGTGTGTTTTGTTTGTGATACCACGTGTCTGCAGTCTCCATATTTTCTGAGTGCTTTGTCCATGAATTTTTCCTTCATGTTGTCTGTGTAAATTGTCGGTCAGAATATTTTTTGAAGTAAAGATTATTATTATATAGAAGCATAATTTATTTCCATAAAGACATTATAAAGTTGTATAGAAAACTGTCAACACAATAAAATAAAGATACTGAAAGTTAATTATAAATGAGAAGATAGTAAAATAAGAGGACACAATTCAGGGTTCATGTTTTTCTTGAAATTATTTTCATATATCGTAACCTTAAAAGATGAATAGAGGGTTGGAGCCGTGGAATTTAGTGGTACACATTCAACTTCGGAAAAAAGAAATAATAAATCCTAAGTGTTTGTTTGGGGATCTAATGCACATACATGTAAATACACATTTTTAGGTACACCTATAAAAAACTCTTCATTTTTTTGGACAATACAAGTTCTTCTGAATTTCCTTTAAACAACTTCAGCCAATTCTTCCTTTTTTGTCTGAGATATTGGAGGTTGATTGTTTTCTATGTTATTACGAGGGTGTTCTGAAAAGTTTCTGACCTCAACCTGAAGATAGCAGCACTCGTACATAAGAGCTAGTAAATTTCGTTGTTCATCTATTGACAGGTACTCACCAAAGTTTCAGCCATTTTGGATGGGAAGTTGTTATGTGACAGTCGTTTGAGTGAGTTGATGTGTTTTTATGAAAATGGACATAATCGAATATCGAGCTAAATATTTGTTTTCGAAAGGCAATACCCCTACGCAAATCAAAGATGAGTTTGATTCTGTGTATGGGGACCTGCACCATTATTTACTAGAGTGAAATTTTGGGTAGCTGAATTTAACCGTGGCCGTAAGAGCTTGGAAAACGAACATTCGGGACAGCCAAAAACTGCAACTACCGACAAAAATATCGCCAAAGTTCACCAAATGGTGCTAGTCGACCGCCGAATTAAAGTGAGCAGAATGTCAAATATCCGACCAACATTTAGGCATTAGAAAGCTGTCCACGCATTGGATGCCGCGATTGCTCACGTTAGACCAAAAACGTGTTCGAATGAACATTTCCAACACTCTGTTGGCGAAGTTCAGGCACAATAAATTCAAGTTGATTAATTACTGTAGATAAAACTTGGAACATCATTAAAGGCTCGATACAAAAATACAGTCCAAACAGTGGAATGCAAAGCGGGAACCAGCTCCAGAAGAAGCAAAAACTGTTTTTTCGGCCAAGAGAGTGATGGCGACTGTTTCTTTAGGGAGAAGTGTGAAGAGTTAAAAGGAGACTATGTTGAAAAAAAAATCTGAAAAAATATTAGGAACCTCTGCCTCACAAGATTTTATTTGTGATTTTCCTTTTTGTTTATCTCCCGTTTTTTCGGTGATATTTTTATTGACATTGATCCTTTTACTCAACGCCCCAGGCATTTTTTACTGATGGGTCTTATCTTCTGACATTTGCGAGCATTCTACATACTTTTTGTTGTTACTGGTGTTTTTATTCACCAGTAAATTAATGTTTTCATTCAATAGGATTATTTACTAACAATACGGCATATTTTTTTATTGAACGATTGACTTCAGAAGATTCATTTCTTCCCTTGTATGTCTGATGATTTCATCACTAATCAATTTGGAATATTTCGGGTCTAAAGACTCACTTTGAGCTTGAGGTACCATATCACTATTTTCACAACAAATAATATGTGTAATGCCTATTGTTATATAGTTTTTCAAATGTTCCAAACAACTTATGTGGAAAACATTACCACAAGTAATGCACACTGCAACGTCAACTTTTTGTTTTTCACAACACTTGAAACAATTTTTAGAGAGATCTTCAAATGACTTCTTGCCGGCAGCCATGTTTAATAGGTTATTTTCAAAATATAGTCATTGCTTGAAATAAATGGAATGCAAGAGGAAAATTTCATTTCGTGTAATATCAATATGAAAGGGTGGATTGCAGTGTAAAAGAAAAACTGAATTGCAAAAAAGAGAAACGTACATAAATCAATAATCGCTGGTTTCTGTTTATAAATCGATCAAAATTGACAAAGTTTACAAAATTAATGAATAGAAGACAGAAATATAAAACATGAAAACAAAACTTTCACTGATTTACTGTAAGTTCAGTAATTAAGGATGAATAACAGTTCAAATCAGTCACAAAGTTGCCACCTCCATACTGACGATAACCCTATGAAATCTGAACTTGCGCGAGAGTTTCCCTTTCAACGTGCGACCCTAACACGGGTTAGCTAAATATGCAGTGAATATCGATCAACTCATTGTTGGCATCCAACCAAAATTTGCATATCATTGACTGTCAGATACCGGAAACATTTGAAATATTTTTACACACTCCCTGTGTTTTTAAACTGACATTAAGAAACAGCACTCACATTTATGCGATAACAGTTTCTCACCTAGTCTCATCTAATCAGTTTACAACCTATACTTAAAACCCGAAGTTGTATGATTGAATTTTGTCTACAAAAAATTTTTTTTGATTGTTTCCATATACGTTCATTTTTCTGTAGAGTATCTAATGTTATCTTATCTATTTATCTCATTGAGTTCAGATATTATTTCAACATTAGGTTTTGTCTAAAAACAGATATTTTCAATCAAGTGACTCAGAAGCTATTCACATAAAGCTATAAAGTTTCAAGTGTTTTCCGTTTTACGCATCATTGTAAGTCCAGAATCAAATAACAATGTCTTTCTATTTTTATCTCCGACCACCAGTTCAGTTGCTCTTAGAGAAATCAAATCAAGACAAGAAAGACGATAAACCAAATCAAGAAAAGAAAGCAGAGAAGAAAAGAAAACATTCTTTCTTTCGTCTACATCTTAAAAAACATGACAAACCTGCAAAAATTCAAACATTTACCGTTCACACGTGAGTTGAGTATAATTTTCAGTTTCATAGATGTTTTTTCAATTTGTCTAATTTGGAATGAATGAGATTGTTCATATATAATCAAATATATATTGGTTTAAAGAAAAAAACAATATTCATGAACTTTTTAGTGATCAGTATCGAAAAAAAAGGAGAAGGTGCTATTCTCACAAGAGGAAAAAAAAATAGAGTAACACAATGACTTTTACTTCATGCAGTAAGAGGGTATGTAAAGAACGTGCTGAAACCAAAATATTCTTCCCAGAATGTAGCACTTCACGAAATGAATATCAAGATAGTGATTGATGACAAGAACAATACATTTTCTGCGTTTTGCCTAGACATTGATTCGCATCATGTCGAATTATTTAAAGGGCTATACTCAATTTCAAATATATTTTCATTTGCATAGTTAAAGTTTTACACAATTTTTTCTGACCCTCTCACATTTTTCATTTATGTATTAGAAATAAATTATTGAAACTATATTGAAGATGGTTTAATCAAAAATTATATCAATTTTGATATTGGTGTAAAAGGTACACCAATATATTTTATCAATTGAAAATTGAGGGTCAATTATTAATAACCCTCAATTATAATTGAAATAGGTTATGCAAACGTTTGAACATATTACAATCATAGTAGATTGTTTTCCACTTACGGTGTAAATAATTTTCATCCTCGTGTGTCAATTCTCTGGAATATGGCAGCTTTGTTGTACTTTGTGGTGTGGATTGAAAACTATTGATAAACTCTGCTACACCTGGAACTAATTATTTTCTCGTTAATAATGGTATCTACTTTTATCACAGCAAACTCACTTTTCTCTGGCCATAATTCCGGTGAAGTTCGGTCTAGATTTTCCATACTCAATAAACTAGGTCCTAAATCTTCCAAGTCTTCTTGTTCTCGGTCTGGAATTTCTGGAACTGGATTGTGAATCGATGGACTTTTGACAGCAGTAGGCAAACTCATCATTAAGCATTTATTGAAAAATTTGGTGAATTGCGAACAAATTTCTTGTACAGGATAATACTATATGCTTCAGAGGTCGAATATAGTTGAAGAATAGCTGAGTGAAAAGACAAATTGTCGAAAGAATTCTATAAAATTTTACCTGATTGAAAGCTCCCGGGTTTCTCAGTCGCCATCTTGCATTACTGCCAATTTAACGGCTTTCGACAAAAACACTAAAGTTTCAAATTTCGAATGCGTCAGTTGTCGAACATCATATTGATGTGAAATTGTCGATCAAAAAAATTTTTTTGAGTCATTGTCAGTTTAAATTGTTCATTTCCGTTCATAAAATGGTAACATTTTCCAGAAAGTTACTGAAAAACTTCAATTTACCAGCTTATAAATGGATGTCAAAATTATGGTTTGGCGACATTTTTTATACAAGGTTGGCTATTCTGATTTCCCTAAAAATAACCTAAACGTTGCATCCTGTGAGACATTTTCTATTATTTTCTAAAATTTTAAAACTTAGGATCAAGACATATAGATTAAATATGATATGAAATTCAAATTGCCGAGTGACGATGTTGTTCAGCGTTAAAATACCATAGAATTAATTTCTAGGTAGGTTTTAAGATACAGCCAGTCACAGTTGTAACAAACACTTTTGAAGTGTTTTGTCATGATAAAATAAATGCATAATATGCCAGAGAATTTCCACACCATTTTAGAGTATGACTGACGAAGATGATTAGTATTTGATTTCATGATTATTTTTCAGAACAATGGGTCAAACTCTGTCAGAGCCAGTTACAGCGAAAGATACTTCTTGTTGCCAAAATTCTATCTTTCAGGTGGGATCTAGTTGTATGCAAGGATGGAGAATAAACATGGAAGATTCTCATACACATATACTGTCTTTACCTGATGATCCAAACACTGCCTTTTTTGCAGTATATGATGGGCATGGTGGGTCTAAGGTAGCAGAGTATGCAGGTAAAGCAACTTGAGTCGTCAACTTTCAAAACACTGTTGAGAAAAATTGAGCTTGAATATAAAACTGAGAGGCACTTTATATTTTTATTTGAAATATATACTCATCAAATCAATCAAATCAAACTTTATTCATCCATTCCATAATTGTCATTTTTTACAGATTGTTACAGATAATATAGTAACATAATATAATCCTGTACAGAGGTTACCTAAGCATAAATGCTTGTAGTGCATATCTCTGTACAAGGAAAACAAAAAAAAAATTTAATTGTATTTAATGTTGGGAGAGGTGCAAATTGAGGTGCAACAGTAACTTTATGATATATTTATACATACACAATTCCATTTGCTTCTAATATATATTTATTTACTTCATGAAATCATCCTATTTGAAAAAAAATTTACAATGAACAAAGTATTAAAGTATTTTACAACTTACACTAAAATACGTGTATAAAATTCAAATAAATGATTTGGGACAAGAGAGTGCCCTCGTCAAGACCAGCAGGGTATCACCTATGTTTTCTGGTTAGTTGTATGAATACAAGTTTTTTCTGAGACCTAATTTTACCTACTTTTAAGATATATGCTAATTACCTCATTGCAAACTAAATTCAATAAAGGGGAACAATTTAAATCTATTTGATCCAATTTGAGCAATAATGCTAAATTCTTAAACCTATTGATTTGTAAGCATTTCAAAACGTTGAGTTTTGAACCTTCCTCTTCCAAATGCAATACGTCATAATCATTTGAACTGGTGCCCCTCTGTCAAAAGATAGTTTGCAAATGTTGAATTGGTCTTCTCATTCAAAAAACTTACTTCTGTGCTCTTTTATTCTTCTGCAGAATATTCTTCTGGTTTGTCCAATATAAAATTTAAGATAAGAACAACAAGTCAACCTATACACTTCTGATCTATCCAACACTGGAGTTTTATCTTTATTATTTTTAACGAATTTACTCGAATTATTTGTTCTGTAGGCTGTATGGTTTTTAAAAAACGAGCGATATTAGTAGGATCATCAAAGTGATAGAGTCACATAATGTTCATGATCATTCTTTGAAACTGGATAGACCTGGTTTAGAGCTTGTTTTTGCATTTTTTAGATAGAATTGAGTCATTAACGGTGAAACTCAGATTGGGAGTGTATAGGTTGACTTGGGGCTCTGGTCCTAAATTTTATATTGGCCAAACCGAAAAAACATTCTCTTGAAGAGTAAAAGAGCATTTGCAAACCATCTTTTGACAGAAGTGTCCGAGATTATAAAGATTGTGACATTACATTTGGAAAAGAAAGTTTCAAAACTCAACCTTTAGGAATTCTTAGAAATCAATAGATTTGAGAATTCAGGATTATTGCACAATGATCAAATTAATTTGAATTTTTCCGCTTTATTGAAATAAGTTCACAATGAGGAAATTGGGAATTAGAATAGATTTTAAAAGTAGGTAAAATGAGGTTTACGATAAAACTTTATTTATTATTATTCAATTTAATGAGTTGTTCCTAGAGAGGTAAATAATTTATTATTTCTACATCATAAATAAGCTATATGATATTTTAGGTTAAGTTGTTGTGGAATTGGCCGCGGTGGTAGGGCGCCCGGCTCACGATCGGAATTTCGTGGGTTCGATTCCCGCCTCGACCAGATATTTTTCTCGAGAGAATTTATTTGGTTGAAGCTGGAATGATTCTGCAACCGTGTTAGCAATCACACGTTAAAAGTTGAGACCTCGTTAGTCTTTAGCTCGCACAAGTTTCTCGGCTTCTGAGAGTTGTAATTCGTATGGGGGCGATAGCTGATTAACGGAAAAACAGATTTTTAAACAGGTAAAGAATTTATCAAGTAGAAATTTGTCAGATAGTAAGTTATTAGGATTCAAATTACTATAAAAGCATGACACATAATTTGTTTATCAGTAATGAGAAGCCTGAAGGTTCTATGATAAAGCGAAACACTTGTTGTGGTTTTGTGAACTGTCAAGTGTAAATCTCACATTAAAGTGTTTTTTCAAGTATGTTTTAATGGATTTTCATCAAGTACAGGTCAGTTCTATCTTATTTATATATTTCTCTTTGAATATATAAGTTAAGCTGAAGTTATGTTTTTGTTTCATATTGTATTGTGAATTGTTATTCGGTGTACTTAGTTTTCGATGTTTAAAATAATTTGGAAATAGGATTACACAGGTAAATAAATAAGGTCCTGTCTATTTGGAAACATCATCAACTCTCACTTTGTATAAATAAATGTGACATTTTGGGTTTGCCATTTTGAAGGATGTTCTTCAGGTAGTTCAACATTATCGTAATTCATTTTTCCTGCTTTCCTTACTGCACTGACAATTTTCCATTGGTATCTCTTGTCTGACTTCTTTAGTCTGAAGTCTTCCAAAAGTCTCCTTTCCCATAGTAAGTTTTATATCTTCATTGTATATTTGGTGATATTTTTATTATTTCAATCCCAGATAATTATATTCATAGTATTATTACCATTATTGTAATCCTCGCATATTGTTTATCACATCATCAAGATTTTTATGAGTTACATTGTATTCAAATAAAGTGTCACTTTGTTCATTGTGTACTGGTTAAAATAATTTTTTGAATTTTTTACAGGTAAACACTTACACAAATATATTATTAATCGGAAAGAATACAAAGATGGGGACATCCCCCAAGCAATGAAGAAAGCATTTCTCGAGCTAGATTCTCACATGCACGACGAAGATAGTCTGAAACAAGAAGCTTCAGGTACAACTGCGATCACGATCCTCGTGAAAGATAACAAATTGTATTGTGCTAATGTCGGTGATTCCCGAGCTGTAGTTAGCATAAAAGGGCAGGCAGAAGCCCTTTCTGAAGATCACAAACCTTCGAATCAGGGTGAGTACGATAGAATCACAGCTGCTGGTGGCTGGGTGGACTGCAACAGAGTCAATGGAAATCTGGCTCTCTCTAGGGCTCTTGGAGATTTTGCATTCAAAAGAAACTCGGAAAAGGGACCGGAGGATCAAATTGTTACAGGTTAGTTATTGATTTGATTATATTACCACAAACTTGTTTAATTTGTTGTATAACAAAACTGAAATAACACAGACCTACGATAAAAACATGTTTTTCAATAATTACAACTGATTTCTATGTTTGTTACGTGACAAATTTTTATAATTTTAGAATATAATTGATGTCGATGTGGATGATACAACTTCCGCACCAAAAATACTCAAGATTTAGATTATTGGTTTAAAAAATTTCTTAAAATAAAAAGATAAAAATGTCGGCCCACGACTCTACAATGCTATTTGGTGGAAAATGTTTATATGAATTAACAATCATATGATTGGCTTTAGAAAAATCCTATTAAATATAGTACTAAAACTATAAAATTTTCATATGGCGAAAACTTCACTGAACTGAACCAACCTAAGGGCCCCACAGACGTTCTTTTTTGACAGGATTACCCGATGTGCAAAACTGTTCAGGCAATCACAAACCATGGTGGCGCCCACACACTACTTGGTTCGGTTTTCCTGCAGTATAGTCATTGTCATGGAGACGACAGTGGCGTTAGCTGCGGTTTTAGCAATAAAAGTTAAATATGCTAAGAGAAAATACACTTAATGGCAAAAGAATAGTTTCTAAAAAGGAAACAATTCTCTCACGTTAACATATTGGAGGAATTGCGGTTAGAACCAGGTGATTGGTTAAATTATCTAAGAATAGATGAAGACACGTACCTAGGTTAGTAATGTCTTTAATAAAGAAAGAGGACTCTCTCATGAGACAAAGTATAACCCCCCATGAACGTCTGACAGCCACTTTGAGATTTATTGCTATCAGAAGTAGCTACGAAGATTTGAAATTTTCAGCAATAATATCTCAAGGTTTGGGACACATCATACCCGAAACCTGTAGAGCTATATACCATGTTTCAAAAAAAGATGTTCCTCGAATCGAGTCAATTCTCATTTTCACCATTTCTATTGTTGCCGATGAATCAATTTTTGTTAGCTTAGTTAACATCTCCTTATACGCCTTATTCTTTTTATCTCTGTCAGCATACTCGCTTGATTTGACTTTCCAGAGACATGGAAAATTTCTGTACATTTCAATAAATTCCGTCATGAATTGTTTACTGCATTGCCTCAAATCACTTATTTTATATACACTGAATACGCACACAACTGATATTCAGAATCTATTTCTTCGGTCGGTAGCCAAGTGGTTTGACGTGGGTGCTTTGTTCACTCACTCGAATTGACTGCCGTGTTGGTGGGTGGTTCAAGCCCTAGTCTCAACGATCGATTTTCACTTGCTATCGTCCAACCCGTGTTAGGAATCACACGTTAAAAGGTAAGACCTCGTTAATCCGTAGCTCGCACAAGTTACGACTTCTGAGGGTTGTCGTTGGTAGGGGTGCGACAGCTGGTTGACGGGAAAATATATTTTAAACAGATTTAAACTAACGGTCTGCCTACGAACGATCCCGTTCAAAATCGTCGTGAAAAATTAGATGAAAATAGATAATTTGGAATGCCGGCAATCACTACAGTTTTCTGTCACACACCGACTGGATCACCTGAAAAGTTTTGCACGTCGGGTAATCCTGTCGAAAAAGAACGACGTCTGTGGGGGCCTTTATATCTCTTACGAATCTCATTCATCAAAAAAAAGTCACAACTAGATTTGAAACAGATTTTTCATGCACCTTTGAGATTGGACAAGTGAGTGAAATTCGTCTGTAATTATTAGAAATTGAAACAAACTTTCAAATCTTCAGGCAATCGGGAAAATCCTCAAAAAACAAATATCCAGTATAAAGTGTTTGACTTTGTATGAGCTGACACCCCAATGGACGAATGATGATCTGGTAAAGCATTATATACTTTGATTGTTTTATATTCAGCTAACCGCTTCTAAGAATTTCTCAAATTAAACATTAGTATATTCGCTTGACTTCGAGTAAGGATAAGTACCACCTTTGTTTGAAGGTGATTGACAATGTTTCATGACGAATTTCACTAGTTCGGACTTCCATTGTCTACTATATAAAATAATTTGAAATCCCTGAAACAAGTAAAAATGAAGAATTGAAAATGAATAGCTGAAAATAACAATTATATTAACCAAAATAAACCTGAAATGAAATGATAGTGAAATAAAATACAAGTAAAAATAGAACAATTGAATAAATAAAAAATAAAGAAATGAAAAAAGGAAATAAAAATAAAAAGTGGAGAGATTCCAAGTCACGTTAGTTCACGACGTTTTGATTGTTAGTATCTACAATCGTCTTCGGGTGATGACTGGAATGATTCCTCCGAGAGATGACTATTTATAGGTCGTTCGAGTACTTTCACGTTTTGGTGAAGAGGACCGACACTAAGTGGGAAACATCTGTATACCGAAAACCCAGTCATACGGGCAGTATCTGAACCACGAATCCAACCACCATCAATCGACTAAAAGAGGAATCATCAAGACTCTATTAGACCGTACTTTTGGGCTTTGTAATACTAAGGAAGGTCTCGAGAAGGAACTAGACATCATCAAAAATGATCTTCAACGAAATGGCTACTCCAAAGCGATGGTAGAAAAGACTTTGGCTAGAAGACAGCAGGAGCCTCACAAGGAAGAGAAGCCGTCACAACCAGTGCTTGCACTTCCCTACATCAGAGGATTATCGGAGAGGATAGGAAGAATTGGTTCCAAGTACCATCAGAACCTGATTCAGATCCGGTAACACTATCCGTAGCAGCCTCACAAAAACCAGGCCACCAAACGCGGACTGCGATTTCAAGAATTGCATTTACCGGATACTCTGTGAGTGCGGAAAATCCTATATTGGTGAAACTAAGAGGCCATTGAATGTTCGCATTGCCGAGCACAAGAAACACACACAGCGAGGGGAAACCAGCAAATCAAGAATAGCAGACCATGTTTGGACCCATCAACACATCGAGTGGTCCCTAGCTGAAATCTTGCACAGAGAGGAACATTGGTTTAGGAGAAAATTCAAGGAAGCCGCATACATGTTGTCCAACAACGTATTCAGCCAGGCCAGCGTAGAAATAAGCAACATATGGAAACCCATCATCTAGCGAAAAATGGCCAACTTCCGCCAAAACGGGACCAGTGAAGCGGAAAATGGAAAACGGGGATGAGTGATGATTTGATTTGATTTCATTTCAGGTTTATTTTGGTTAATATAATTGTTATTTTCAGCTATTCATTTTCAATTCTTCTTTTTCACTTGTTTCAGGGATTTCAAATCATTTTATATAGTAGACAATGGAAGTCCGAACTAGTGAAATTCATAGGTACCACCTGTTATTATCTTTATTGTTTTTATGTTCCCGTATTGATACTCAAAATTTGGCACTAGTGATGGTCACTTAAGTTACTTATGAAGTTTTTGCCATCGTAAGTTCTCTCCTTGAAATTGACATAAATGTTATATATGTATGTTCCTTTTCTTCTAGCATTTCCAGACGTTGTAGAACGCAGTATTACCTCCGACTGGGAATTCATTGTGCTTGCCTGTGATGGAATTTGGGATGTGATGAGCAACAAGGAAGTGGTCTCCTATGTTCGAGAGAATATCGCCAATGGTCTGGAGCCCGAAGAAATCTGTGAAAATCTCATGATGCACTGCCTGGCCCCCGACTGTCAGATGGCAGGTTTGGGATGTGATAATATGACTGTTGTAATTGTCGCCTTATTGCATGGAGAGACATATGAAAAGTTGCAGGAGAGATGTAAAGTACCTCCGGATGAACAAGAGGAAGTCACAAATATCAAAGATACTGAAAACGAAAATATTTAGTGCTCCGGGAGACATTTTGTTTAAGGGATGGGTATTGATGTGATTCTTACTAAATTGTCTAAAATGATTTCTGTCACAATTATTTTGATCTCAAAGGCACCATTGCCAAAACCGACCACAATCTTGTAAGCCTACAAAGTTTCAGTGAATCATGGATGAAGTTTGGAATGAAATTGTGACTTTTTTTTCTCGCAGATATTGTTACTATTGATGCTGTATTCTATTTGAAATTTTTTGTTATAATCTCTTTATTGATAGTTGAAATTTCATCACTTTCAAATAAATAATTGAATTGGGTGTCACGTTGAATAATTATAGTAAGTTTTGTATTAAGTAATTGAGTTAATAGATGATTCACTTGGTTTATAAGAGATCAAATTCTATTGAGTAGAGAAACTTTCCATTAAGCCACTTTTGATTTGAAAACAATTTTTCAATCAGAGTATTAACCTGTTCCAAAGTCGAACTGAATATTGATCTCTGAGGTGTATTTAGTTTGGATGGATTAGGTACAGATTATAAATAAAAATTCAGTGATATGAATAAAATTTATCAAATGTTGAGGTATATTTTCTAAACTGAGGATCATCAGAGAATTCACAATTTTGAATATTGGATTATGTAGATATCAACATTAGTGAATACTTCGAAGGATTTTCGGATATACCAGTTTTAGGGGTTGAAAGTTAAAGATTTCAGTGTTTTTATGAGCTGAACACTGTCACAAATCTATTCTAAAGTGAGAATTTAAATCTATATCAAAGCTATTTTCCGGGTTTGTTGGCCATGGTTTTCAGGTTTTTATGCCTGACATTTATGACTGCACTAGACATTATCTAAGATGATGACAGACAGTGTTCTGGTTGGTGTTCGAAGCAGATACCACAGAATTAATCTTTGGATTTATTCCTTTGGTGGTGAGTGTAGCTTTATTTCTACAGGTTAAATTAAATGACATGATAAGAGAGCAATTATATGCAGGTAGCCAGAATTTATTTATGTTAATATTATCCTCTTTCTGGTTGAGATTGTGCTTCTGAATTCCTATCATTTCCCTTTCTAGTCTTAGATAGTGTTACTCTGAGTTCTATCCATGACTTGGGTCTTTTCACACATGATAATGTGGGTACCTTCTCTAAGTACATGTTCCCCTAGCGCTGGTTTGTTGGTATGCCCCCTAGCGACAATTTCTTTGTTGTTCAATACCGGGCACTGGAAGAGAAAATTAAGATAACTAAAATTTGGCTGCCTGCACTTGCTTGCTCTCGTATCAGATCACTTAATTAATCCAATAGGAATGAAGTCACACCCACTACCAATGGTATAAATTTGGAGACCCAAACCAATGCTGTGTTGGACAACCAGAACACGTCTATTGTCTTATGACCTTTGAAAACCACAGTCAACAAACCCAGAAAATAGCTTTGGTACAATTAGTAAATGGTTGTTGAACTTTTGCCATTGAATTTGATGAGGCTCGAAAATTATTTTCAACTTACGTTTTACCAACCAAGATGTTATTCTAAAGTAATAACTATTATAATAATCTGATGGCAATTTAGTCGACAAAACTGACAACAAAAAAAACAACTTTCAACTTGTTTTATTCGATCATATTGAAAAAAGGCTCATTCATGGTTCATCAATGAAAAACAGCATATTTAAAACAAATCAATACACAAGTAATCAGACTATTGAATTGTTTAATTTTGCAGTTCGGTTGGCAGATCCAAACAAGTACAGTCTGTACTGAAATAGAAAGATCTAATTTAGTTGTATTGAAAAAAAGAGTACTGTAACTGAAATTGTATTACTGAATGACTCAAAAAGCCATCTCTTTGAAGTAAATCTAGAAATATATTTAAATAAGAAAACACTGCTGATTATTTCGAGACTTTAATTTCATTAAACAAATTGGTAGACAGTTGATTTTTTATTCATTTGTTATGGAACTCAAAACAATGTGTCTCCAAATTCTTTCCTTTTATCTATATCACTGATTATTTAACCCAAATGTAACGGTCTATTGTAAATAAAACAAAATCGCACTGTGTTCTTTCGACTTCGTGTATATAAATATGTACATATTAAGGATATTTTTTACCTATTCTGATATATTTCTTGTGTAATTTGAATGTGTGCATACATCTATTTTCATTATGAATTAACTGAGGAAAATTTTTTGGCATAATTGATTTGTTATATCTATATAGCTTGTCTGTTTCTTTAGGGAATATAAGAGTTCTTCCAGTTTTATTTTTTCTCATAAAAGATAAAAACATGCCATTAGTTGGTTCTGCTTTTCTCTTTTGGATTGAATTATCACATGGTTGTCACTTGAGGAATGTTAGGTAATGAAGACTTTCATGGTGAATAACAATTCTTTTAACGTAACGGCAAACCCGAATGGAACTTTTTGTTTCATTTTGATGTAGAAATTACATAAAATATGTCAATATCCAAAGCTATACCTTTTTTGTTCTTTATGAAATTATCTACACACTATTTTTTGTTCCTTATAAAATTAGCCACAATAGATGTTGATTACTAGACACGTTTTCATTTGTGGTTTCTCCAATAGATCTGAACATAATATTGTGCTACATAAAATTGTTTTCAATCCTATACTACCAATAATTTCTTGAATAGTTATGCGCCGATTATAAAATTGATTGATCTTCAGGAGTCCAAGAGAAGTGGTGAAGAAGTTTCATGCATTTGAAATAAGGCTAAGTTTTAATGTTTGATCCCAGTGATTCATGTAGAAGCCCTTATTTAAAATATGCCACTTTGCTGTAAATATGTTCAAATATGAACCCTGGGTCCCTGGTAGTCCAATTGAAACGAGATTCACATTTTTATGCTCAATTTCTTTTTGTAATTTCATATTTCTTTGACAGGGCCATATCCAGAGAATAGAGAGTAATCAAAGAAACTAGATCCAAAACATATTTTTGGAAAACTTGAAAATTATCTAAAAAAAATATACGTTTTATTTTAGCTTTGATTTCAGATGTATAATGACATAAGTTTATCTATCATTGACTGTGTGTCTTTCAGAGTGTGTTCACATTCCATATGAACCACATGAATTAATTATTTAAGTTGAGATTCTTCATATTTGCCGATGTCTCCCTCTGGGGATACACATCCTGAATACGTCCCTGATGACTCATACAAATTTCCCATTCCTCAAATAATCAAAATTGAGTCTGGAAAACCTGGAAAAGTTGGTGTATTTCCAACAAGCAAGTTTGTGGCAACCCTGTGTCATTATCCTTGTAATTTGCTGATATTTGAAATTTTATTGTTGATAAAGGCGGCCTAAAATGATCAAGCATGTTTTCCAAAAGTTAGAACTAATATATGACTAATTTTACTGGAAGAATTCCCTCAGTGTATCTATGCTTCTTATTTTCATAAATTTGTAGTGTATATCAATTTCAAACTGCAAATGCACCCCTTTTGTACCAGTGAATACATTTTCCAAAGAGGCTCTCGTGTGATACATTAATCAAATACATCCTTATGATGGAGTTGCTAGAAATGATTGTATTCCGATACCAATAGTTTGAGCAAATGAAAATCATTCGACTGTGAATCGTTCAGCTTTATTTTTATCTCCTTGCTTAGTGTGTTGATAAACAAAGGCAATGAAAATTAAATCCAGACTAAATTGAATAATCCTTAACTTTTAACTGAACTTTCTTTTCTGTAAAACTTTCCACACATCAAGAACTGATTTCAGAAATATACTGTATATTTGTTGATGTGTAACACTCTGATTAGTTAATAATAAACAAGACTTTCCACAATCTGAAGAATGATACGTCCAGATCAGTAGATCTGTGCAAGTATAATTGAGGTAAAACTGAAAATTACTATGTAATAAACAAATTCAAACAAAAACTTGTAACTTGTACTTATAGATTTTTGTCTACCAAATAAGATGATTGAATATATTTTTGTACAAAACGTTTAAGTTTTGGAAAGCAGTCTTTTTCTGTTTCAATATCTGACATTCTGTTTGGAAATCAACTTGAAACATTTTCTGTCTATGAGTGGTGTCAAGGGAATGTGAATGCCTAGTTAAACTGAATTCTTGGGTATTGTACTACTACTACAATGTCTATTATATCTTATTCATACCACTGACGTTTCGTCTACTACTGCGGTAGACGTGCCTTTGATAATGTCTATCGCAGTAGTAGCCGAAACGTCAGGCATAAAACCTGCAGACTATGGTCCAAAAAACCCGGAATATTACTTTGGCATAGTTCAGGTTCATAGTTGTATATATTTTCAAAAACATGTGAAGACGTACTTTCTTCATTATATTCTTCAAATCATAATAATTCAAAAAAACTAAGTGATTTATTATGATTTTATATATAAATAATATAAATATGATATTATATTTTTATGATTTAGTATAAGTAGTCAACATGTCGAAGGGACTCTTATGGCATTTTGTTTTGGAAGATCCGTCTTGATTTCGAGTCATGCTGATAGAATAAACTATTCTAACTTGAACATTGCTGTGAGGTTTATAGGGAGGTAAAAACTTCAAACAGTTGTTGAAATTTATCTGCTCGAGGAAATGTTTTATTCATTATATGAATACGGACCTTACATGTGATATAAATTTGAAAAGTCATTTGTTTTTGGGCTAATTATATTTTCGTTGAACATTTCGAAATGGTAATCATTGATATTCTGAATATGCAATGCATTCAGACATTACCAATTTTTTCAACAATATTTTGAATAAGTTTAAGGCAAAATTTGCACCAATTTATGCTTTGAGTATAATGAAATTATGTAAAAAATGGATTCACCCTTTGAAATGGAATTTCTTACACTGATAAAAATAGAGTTGAACCATACATTGTTAAAAATATATAAGCTGGATCTGAATGTACTATGTAAATGCCGGGCTGAAATTACCAACACTACCTAAATGAATTTCTGACAATAACTACATTTTCGATTTCAACCACTAAGCATTAGACATTACGAACCCAACAGATCAGAACATTTTCACATTTGTGCTTTCTTGTTCATTTATAAGCTTCTTTTTTGTATAATAGGCTGTAGATGATTTCATAGGTTTTTGTGATAGCTATCATTGTAAACATATAAAAATAAAACTATTTTTAGTAAGACTGTTGTAGTGAAATTAGTGATTAAACACTTAGTTGACAAATCTTTGTATTTATAGATTCCTAGTTCCTCTTACTTCAAGTTCTTTTTTTTTAAATCCAATGTTGAAAATTAGATAGATAGATAAATAAATTTAATTCATCACATTAACTACAAAATGTACATTAGTGACAAGTTAAACTGACAAACAAGAAAAACAACAGTTAAGGTTTATATACGCTAATTACATCTTTTATTTCTAAAATTTAAAAAACGAAACTGTCCCACAATTAAAATACTCTTCGATGGAGTAAAAAGAGTGCCTCAATAGTGGGTGCTCAACTTGAAACGGTTATAACTCAAACTAGTAATGTTTGTTGGTTTTTTTTATTGCATAAATGTAAGTTGAGTGAATTTCGAGCTGATAGAGTTGATAAAATTGATGTCTCAGGTGTGCACTTCTTCGAGTTGGTTAATTATAATTACGAAAGTCAGCATTTATGAGGTACCTAGTATTAGGTTTGTGTATGTAAAACGTTGTAGAGTATGAAAATACACGGCAAAAGTAGAATTTTAGGTTCTTGAAATAAAGTACAAAGTGTTTGTTGACTGTAAGGAACATTGGGTATGATCCGGATTGCTTTTTTTGAGTGCGAAAGGCTTTAATTGCATCTGAAGACTGACCCCATAAAAGTATGCCACAGGTTAGGTGGCTGTAAAAAAGAGAAAAATGTCTATGTCAGAAATACCGTACTTTGACTAAGATATATTTTCAGAAACAACAGTATTTTTTAGAAAGGTATTGGTATTACTCCGATTAAGGATATTCTTCACAAATTAATATAATTTCAAAACATTCCTGTTATGTCATAGAAAAATATAGTATTCTATTTGCCAAAAAGGGTCATTACTTATTTAAATCATTCATGCGAGCCAAAGGTGATCATAGACGAACTTCAATTTAATGAGTACTGGCACATTTCTTACTCGTTGGATAATATACTATTGTCTAATTCCCAGTGTGTAGTTTTAGAGAATACAACTGTGGCGGACTCGTTTAACAACGTGTTATTCCGTCACAAAATGATGGAATGTGAACTATTTGTATTATTCGACATCCTGTCAAAGCTTTGTACACTATTATTGATGAGCAGCTTTTGGAAACTCTGGAAGATATCAACTATCAAGTATTCGTGCCACGTGCCATTATAAGGATGTCTGCAGAATGCTGTATAAACTCCACTGTAGGTAGACCCACTGTGATTCGAAAGTGCATATAGATTATAGCGACAAGGAGCCACATTATCTGCTGCATAATTGTTCATATCTAATCCATCTAGAGGAAATTCGATGGCAACATTTAACTTGCCTCTAAATCTTTCTGTTAGAGAAAATATTTTGAAATGAATTACTAAAATATGGGAAAATTTATGGATCGATATATATGGAATGATATATTCTATTTTATATCGTTGACCAGTCTAAAATCCAAAATAATTTTCGTGAAATCAATGATTGGTTTAGTCATGAGTTACTGACAAAGTTAGGTAAATGTCATTCTCATTTGTCTACCTGACATCAGTAATCATGTATCGAATACCAAAATGAAGTTGACATGTGATCAAAATATCTAGAAGTTACTATGAATTCACGTTCAGGCTGGGAAAAACATGGAAAATATAACTGACATTACAATATATCTTGTATAAATACCTAGTGTTTTCTTAACATCTCCCTATTGAAAATTATATAGCATTAATTGATTGGATCGGTCTTTGAAATTCAATTCTCAGTTGGAGAGAGCATCATTCTGCCTATTTAAAAAAAATGGCAATCTTAGAGAAGAAATTTAAAAAAATCTTTATAAGCTGTAATACTTCTCTCCAGATTGAGTATTCAAAGATAAAAAATTTTGATATCAGACACATATATATGACAGCATATACAAATTGTAATTGTCAAAAAGGAAATGAAGTATTATTAGTATCATAATTAACGTGTCTGTTGAAAACGAACGCCCTTTACCTTAACAAATTTTTCAAAGTACAGCTTCAAATCTAGCTGTGTCTCTGAATATCGGATGTTTAGTAGATCAGCCGGCAGAGTGGGGCGAAAGATTATTAACATCGAGGAACTCGAGTAGTGAACATCGAGTTAGAAAAGTAGGTGGAGAAATTATTCTGTGTGGTGAAATGTAAGTTAATTGTTGTCTATGAAAATACCTTCGAACAGTGAACTGGCGAACAAAGCGACAAAGCAAAGAAATTGTGAACAACGTATCAAGATTTATGCAAGGGCAAGCAACAGGTGATGGAGTAAGAATTCCTCTCGTGAAGGAAAGAAGTAATAATAATGATAAGTAAAATTGTAAATAATATTGTATTTCAACTTTGAAGGTTCAAGAACGAGTAGATGAGGCCACAGAGGTTTGCATGTAAACTGTACGAAATTTTCTTTTTCAACTCCAAATAAAAAAAAGATGTATCAAAAATTCCAAAATTGTGAAGGACAATGCTGATTTGACAATTTTCCGCAGATACATAATTAATTTCAATGTGAAAGAGAAATGAATAGAGCGCTTAGGGAGAGTCACAATACTATCATCCAAGATACTGAATATCTGGGTAGCAGAGAGACTGCAAAAAGAATTTCATAAATGTGAATTTCGATGGAAAAAAGTGAAAAATTACAGAAAAATATTGATGGAACGCCAGCCTATTCGACTACAGATTTCTTGAAGAATTGTATAAGAAAACTTATTGAGAATATCGACCTATTAATTTATATTGATGAAACATTTATTCACGTTACACACACGCACCAAAAAGGTTGTGGAGTGATCATACCATGGGTGATGACGGTAATCTGTCCGGAATCGAAACACTTCCTAATGAAAACCATGTATCAGCAGACGGCGAAAAATATCATAATCTTTACGAAACCAATCTTAGAAAATATTATTTTCTCCTGCACAAAAGTACTTGACAAAGCTACTATGCTAGCGAAACATGTTGTGATATATTTTTCAAATAAAGTTTGAGGAGATCAAATTGTAAGGTGTAGTTTTTGAAATTTAAAATGGATGTTGAATATCTGACAAAAAAAGTGAGGAAGCTAATATATAAATTTTACCAGCTACGAAAGTTTCTATCGAAAAATATACTCATATTAATTTACAAATCTCTAGCTGAATCACTTTTTCGTTATGGTATTCAAGTGTGGGGGCAATGTATAAAAGTTCTTTGCAAAAACTAAACGTAATACAGAACTATATTCTGCAAATAATCTTGAAGAAAAAAAGATCATATCACACTAATCTAATATATTTAAATCTTAGTAATATTCGAACACTATACTTTCATAGTTTATGTATGCATTCAAAAACAAAAATCTCAAAATTATGTTCCCACAGTTTATATTTCTATAAGTACAACAAACGAATTGATACACAAAAAACCTTTTCTATAGAATAAAAAAAAAATTATCTTCGAAAATTATTTTGAATTTGTCAAAATATTAGTACACCAATAGATACACTGCCACTAAATTGTTTCCTAACTCTGTACACAACTGTAATTTTATAATAATTAGTATTACTTTGTAGCATAACACAAGTGTTGAGTCAATTTAATGCCATTTTATATAAAATATTTACTTTATTAGTGTTTACTTCATTAGTGTTTTATTCGTATCTTCTGTATTTTTGTGTATCAATTAAAAAAAATAAACTTCACGATCAAAGTTGATAGTGGACAGTTTCCATCTCTCTTTATCGTTCGTGCATCTCAAAGACACAGCTAGATTTTCCAATCTGTACATCTGCTGCTAAAATAATTTGGCCCAGGGGATCATTGGGTATACCTGGTTTAACTTGATATCCCTCTGAATAGTCCTGTGGTAATTTTGGAGATTTAGAGTCCACTCTATAGTGACTATTCCTTGCCTATTCATTTCAAGTACTCTTGTGGAGATCCATAAGAATCTACCAAACTTAGTTACACAGTCTTTCATCAACATAATACTAGAGGAGCACACAATATCAGAATACCCAGATATAGACTTACCAAATTGGCAAATAATTCTTTAAATTTCAGATTATATAATATCCTTCCAGATGATCTAAAAAAGGCCAACATGTTCTGTTTCAAAAAAACTATCAAACTTTTTTTAATTGAAAATTCCTTTTATACACTAGATGAATATGAAGAAAAGGTGAAACAAGGTGGAATAATTTGATTTATGCTCACTGAGACATTATCTTTAAATTATTTGCTCTTATATGTATATTCTGTTTATATTCTACTGTGGTATATGTCCAGTTTTATAACTACTTTAAGTTTTTATCCAATGAACAAACTTTTGTGACTTGCTACAAATGTGCAACTGTATACAAAGTGGTTAAATAAAGTACTTACTTACTTATTATAAATAAAACAATCATAAATATATAATTAATATATTTATTTTGAATACGTTACTACAGAACTACTGATATTAGATAACCTTGTGGGCTAAGGTATACTTTTGTGTAAAAACAATTAAAAATACTTAAAATTATGGAAAACATAAATAAAGGTTCTACAATCAATAAATACCTTTCAACTAATCATCAATTATACATCATATTATTCTCAAATCTCAACCTATAAAAATATTACTAAAGATATAAAGGAATATTTATGAAATATATACCATGTGATCCATAGAAAAACATTATTTCACCCAGAAAATTTGGACCACCTAATCAGGATGCTTAATACATATAAATATTTGAACGTGATTCCGCATGCAAAACGAACATGTAATGTTATATAAAATTATTTACAGTTTGTTTTTCTACCAGAAATATATCTCTTATTATATACATGATTGGACGAGCAATTTTGAATACCAAACATTCTTGATAATGACGTTTACCTTCGAGAATAGAATGATTGTCATTCAAAACTTCCTCTTCAATGGATTTCTTGGAAGAGGACAAAATATATATCTCTAGCTCTTTTTGGAATCCTCTCACAGACGATAAATCGAGAAACCAGTATAATGTGGTAGACAAAAAACTTGATGAGTATCTTTAATTCAGTTTTCACAACTTGTGTAGAAAAATACTGCACAATATTTGACTAAATAAAAAAAACCTTTCAATTCTTTCGAATTTTGCAAGACCTAGTAATACATGAACATTGCTGGAGCTCAACTGTAACACTTTTCTGAGGAGTTTCTTCTAGTTCAAGTCAATAGACTCTATTGAGTGAGAACTTTTTTCATTACTTGCAGCAAAATATGTGGTATTTATAGAACTGTAGAAGCAAAAGCACTACGAAAATCCAGAATTGAAAAATTTAACACCCCGTTGTTTCTTTTTCAGGGTTTAGAAAAATACAATATCTGTAAAAATTCTATTTCATTTTAGTATTTTCAACATACCAAGCCAATAGGTCAGCAAGACCATCTGAAAATGTTGCTTATAAACAGCAATGCTAATCATCATGGCATGCTAATCATAAGATTGTTTTTTCTGTTTGAGGTCATTAATACAAATCTGAAGGTTATTTTCACACAAAAATGGTCGAATATAAAAAAATTGTGATCCTACACTGAACTTCTATCAAATCAATTTTTTTATGAAAAACATATTCTGCACTCAATAAATTGGTGGGGAAAAACAAGCAAAGTATCTAAAGATCTCTTTAAAGGGTGTCCAAAAGTGTAGCTGGTTAATGGAAGATTAATGTTCAATGTTCAAGCAGGATTTGCAGCAATGGAGATATCGTAATATAAAAAATTATTGGCTATTGAACAGGGAATTTTTTTCGAGATATTTTTACATGATGTAAGCAGAAAACCGTTTGGTTTTCTTCTTCAAAATATACAAGAAATAAAAAAATTAAGTGGACCAATAAAAACTCTTTCATGCACAAAAATTCTGCATCTGAAACTTTGTAGCAATGATAGATAAAAAAATAAATACTTTCAATTATGGACCATTAACTTACAAAAAAATCTGTTTTTCTCATTCAGTTTGAACTCCATACATTCTTATTGGAATTGAAGCAGATTTCAAACTCAGGAGAACGCTACACAAAGTAATATATAATAGACAATTATTATAATACAATACAAACGATATACATATAAATATAGTGTTAAGAATATAAAATGGACTGTAAGTTCGAGGGTTAGGTTTGGTTAGGTAAAGAAGTATCGGTAAAAAATTTCATTCATAAGAAAAACTTTCAATCTCCAGATAGACTTGTGAAAGTTTTGGGCGAAAACATAAATTTCTCGAGTCCCCTTCAGCACCTTTCGGGATAACTTTGAAAGGTGATTCACTCAATATTTGCAAAAAAAAAAAATAACTTTATGTCACTGAACGTGATAAATATGCTTTTTCACAATAATGAAATTTTTTTGAAAAAAATGGTCCTATTTCAATAACCAAAATTCCAATAGCTGAGATTAAATGAACTAGTAATATGAATGTTTTTTCAGAAAGGCCATTGTTCAAAATGTTATATGAAAAAGTCCTGCGAGGAGTTCAAGGCTAGTGTTTTCACCTGAAACTTATAGAAGTCCACCTGGAGATTGAAAGTTTCTTCGCAAGTGAAATTTTATTACAATGTTCATTCATATATGGCTTTGTGTCGCAATCTTGTGTATGGTATAAGCTTCAATTCCATTTAGAATGTAAACTGAATGAGAAAAATGTGCACAATGACTGAAAGTAGTTGTTTCAAGAGGATTTGTTCTACAAGTTTGTATCTGAATGAAACTTCTGTGCATGACTCATGTATACACCTTTGTAAAGCGTTTTTACCAATGTATTCATTTTTTCTGTAGTTCCCCACCTTTTATATGTTAACGGAGAAGCAGAAAGCCAAAACGTTTTTTTCCAAAAGATTCTTGGAATACAGTGAACACCGTTCACTGATAAGCATAACTTTACATACACACTTTTGCACAAAGATGTATGAAAATGTTTTACAAAAATACTTAACGGTATTAGGTATGAATTTCAAAAAAAATAAATTGGCATTTAATAATATTTCATTTTAATTGAAGGGGTTATATTTTTTGGAGTGATTAATTTTTATTAATCATTTTGTTTGTACATTTTCAAGAAAAATTATTTGTATTGAGCGATTTAAAAAAAATCATAAAAAATGCTAAGCGTAGGAATTAGCACATCTGTGGTTACTCAAAGACATTTTTGATGGTAGTTCTGCTTCCCGTCAATTATACATTTTGCTTCTAATTTTTCAGTACTTCATTTATTTTTTGAATCCATTATTAGTTGGAGACAATAGAAGACACCTTTTGAAATTACCTTTCCTAAATATCTATGAAAAACCTGATTGTGAGATCATAACTTTTTTTCTAATTGCAATATATAAAAAAAGTGAAAGTTGATTACGAAATGTCACTTTATTGCTCTCGTATCATCCATTTCATTAAATACAGCCAAAACCGTGCACTTTATTCAATAAAATGGATTGTGCCACAAACTCCTCAGTTCACCAAATTGCTAACGTAACCTTAAATTTAAACGAAAAATATATATACACAAACAAGTCAATAACCGCTCAAACGAAACAAGTTTGTCTCGAAAGAATGGTTCAAGCTATAGAGAACATCCCTGAAGCACCACACTCAACTCAAAACGCAGAGTCATCATTTGGTCCCGTGAGCAACCTTCCCATTTTTCATTTCTTTCTTAGGCGCCGGTACCGGAGATATGCAGATGACATCGTTATCGTCTTCGCTTTTAACTTCGATACTGTCTTCCTGAATAGGACCGTTATCCCTTTCCCATTCTTTCAAGACGTTATCCAAGTCATAGCGTTTGCGATAGTTGACAAAAAAGGTGCGAACGTGATGCTCCGTCTTATTGCCGATCGTATCGGCGATGCTTTTGAAATCTTTGCCGTACTTACGAACACCTTGAACAGCGAGTAACAGTTCTTCCTGTGTCCATCTTGCATTGTATCTGGAACTGTCGTTACCTGGACGGAGATCTTCCACGCTGTCGGAATGTTTGCGCTTCAAGGAACTTACATGTTGTTTGTTCTGCTGGATCTGGAACAAAGGAGATAGTTTTTAGATTAATAAAATATTTTGCTGTACATGAGTCTAACCTTAAAATAATGTGTTTGGAAAGTCAATGGTATATCCCTAACTACGCACACATCAAAACACATCCTGAATCACTACACCTCCCATTCACACATACTCTCTAGAATTTGATAAAATACGTGAGAATAATTCAATCCCAACTCATTCACTGAATTTGGCATTATTAAATATGCGGAAGGTGGAAATATTCAATATAGCAATAGAATGCAATGAACAAAGTTATCTACCTTAAACTTAAATTATTTTGTTTCTAATGAACGAGTTTGTTTGAATTTTGAGACACTTACTTAATTGAAAGCAGGATGTTCACTTTTTCAATTACAAAAAACAGATTCGCCACTAATCCTTCCCACTCAAGTCACGACAAAATTGATAAATTAATAAGATAAGATAAATCTAGTGTTGCATTTGAAATAACGAAAATCACACATCATACAATCCAGGCGTAGGCATGCTACAAGATGCAAACTAAAAGATAGAGACCCCAATAGCAAGCAATACAAAAAAAGAGTTAGTGGTGTGAAAAAAAGGAAAGCTGTGCAGTCTGACGAACGAATCTGAGAAAAATAAGCATTTCATGTGGAACATTCAGAAAAGTTATGAAGCTGAAAAATATGAAGGAATTATTCGCTACTATATTTAGTATGCCACATTTTTTTTTATCATTATTACTTCAGTAATTTTGAATATCGCTGAATGTTGAGAGATTTTGTTCTAGTAATATATAATAGTGATTTTTATCAAGTACTCATCTTTGTTTTTTACAGTTTGTCTTTAATCGAGGACCGCTTGCCTAGTACTGATGATGCCCAATAGGCTGAAACAGCTGTCGCATTGTGAATTATCAGAATGATACTTATTTATATGAAAATAGTTTTTCTCAAGTTACTGCCAGAAAAGTAATTCGAATGTTTTGAATTCTAATATAAATTTTGCAGTTTTTTGCGATTCGTAACAATCATTTCAACATATATAAAAAAGCGAGTGTTAGTATACTGGAAAAATATCCTTCACACTATTTATGGATTACCATATGGACATCACTTCAATGGATAGAATATATATTTTTAATTTTTCGTGAACTTATACGCTTACAATGAAAACATGATATATCATATAACAATGGAATCCATAACTGAGTGGGCGAGTTCACTATATAAAAACTTATCGAAATAAAATTCATAGGTTTGTTAAATTGATCATAACGTTGAATAAATGAATATAAATTTCAAAAATAAGACATTTTCAATTACAAGTTTTCAGAGAACCAGCTAAAAACAGTATTACTTCAAGTTCTTTTGAAGTGAAGATTCCCAAAAACTTTCAGAAAACTTGCAATTTAGAGGACTTGAATTCAATAATAAAATAAGCTAAACATGTTTTTGAAACAATATTTCCATGACTTGAACGTCAAATGAAATAATATGGTAAATGAATAATATAGACAAACATTGTATTTTGAAATTATAAATTTTATCCTTATCTTATTCAACTGATTATTCTTTGAAAACATTTTTACAAAAAGTAAAAAATACAAGATTTCCCAACTTTTTTGTTCCAAATGGTACTTCCAAGTACCATTTTGATAAATTGCCAGAACAAATTCAATAGAAAAAGTTAAACATCTTGTTGCATATTTCATGTGATAGTAATTTTGGTAATCAAATTTTAGTCGCTGACACAAATGAAATGTAAAAACAACTGAAAAATGCTCATTCTCTATCTCAGATAATTCGTGCAGACCACTTTTCGGACATCATCTCCATCGTCAGGGTGTACTCACTTGTCTCTGCAGGGAATCGAGCTCTCGATCCATGGCTTTAAGCATGACGACGCCCGTATTGCCAGAAGCCATTGCTGCCAGATCGTCGTGGTTGATGTACATGCCGCGCGGGGGCTTGCGCTTATGGCGAGCCCCCAAAGGGGTGCCCCGCTTGCCGCCCGTCGGCCCCGAAGTGGGCCTCAACAGGCCCGTTCGTCTACATACCAACATTGTTCGTGTCAATTTCGATTTTTAATAATACTTCAACTTTTTCAGAAAAGAACCAATTGCTCTACTATTCGTATTTGAATCAATGGCACAGTTGATGATGGGACTTCAAAATAATTGCAATGTGAATAATTTGATTCGTTTGAATTTTTAACACTTTTCCCATACACAGAACTATAGCACTTTTTCTCTTTTAGAGCACTTTTTACAAGTGTTGTAAAAACGCTTTGAAAAAAGTGCTATAGTTTAGCTGTGAAGGATAAGTATTTTCTATAGATTGATTTTGAACCAATAGTTTAAATTCGGAACACCATGTTCTCATATTGAATACAAATAAATTTTCATTTGGATCGTTCCTTGAATGCACAATATTAGAATCAGTCAATTTTGTGGATATTTGGATTCAGCAACTGATTTTATTTTGATTTAGTTTGTCTAAAATAACACGCAGTTCTAAAAATAAATAATTATTTCTGTAAAAAACTAAAACCTTCGAGAATAATGACTCTTGTAATGTTCAGAAGTTTTATTGAACTGCCTCTAGCATATCCACCAAATTATTTGAAGAAAAATCCTATATTTATTTATTAATACCCTTTTCCTGTGAAGTGTTTTCATTGAGAATAATGATGGTTCCTGTTCACATATGAAGTCAAAGGCAAAGCACTGAGGGCGATTTGATGGTCAAAGAGATTAAAACTAATTTTTTAATACAAAGAATTGAATACACATCATCTTTTTATAGCATAAGAAATATTTAGATCATGAAAACTTCAGTAGGTGAATTGTCTGATTGAAAATTTATTGATAAACAAATACACAGAATATATTATTCACTTGGAAGGTAGTATTTGTGAGCCTAGATACCAAGAATTCATCTGAATAGAAATAATTTTCTGACTGACACAAGAATATTGTTATCGTAGTTCATTTAAAAAACTCTCCTTTTCTTTAAATGAAGATATTCATCTGAACAAGCAGAAATAACTATTTAAATTTATGCAAATGAGTAGAAATTGCTTTTAATACCGAAATGGTTTTCATGAACAAAGATATTTTTCTGTTCAAGAAATGAATGTATGAAAAAAGTTCTTTGAACACTGACAATGGAAAATCAAATCAGCTTTTCATTCATATAATAAATAACAGTTTGTATGAAAGATAATTTTCAATTCATTAGAATTTGACACTTCATTCAACCCCATAACTTGAATGACTATTGAGTCAATTGGGGAACTACATATACGACGCGACTTCAAACAGAAGAGCTCGAAAAATAGGTGATGCCATTTTATTCTTTTCACTAAAATAAACAAAATGTTACAGTTCAAAATGTAGGCAAATAACGGATTCAATCAGGTTTGAAGAAAGGTGCCTTCTTTCTACAAAACTCATTATAATATATTGAGATTGCTGTTGCATATCACTACAATAAATACTACTCGTAATATTACGGTTGTATAAAAACTTGGAAATAATGAATACTGTTGCTAAATCAAAATCGACTGAAAATATGCCTTAAGATTATTTTTCAATTACAGCTTATGTAATGTAGCCTGAACCCTGAGATGAGCAAATGAGAAAAAATCTACCCAATATCATCAAGTTGCAGATACAAGTTGAAGTATGCTGAAATCAAGTTTTTTTTTTCTGTTGCGCCATAGCATTGTCTTCGTCTGTCGCTTTATCAAAACTTGGATCAAGTTACATTACATCAGTTATATTGTTCTGGTTTGTACAAAAATTCCTTCAGATAGTTTAGTAATTTGCCTTTCACTGTTTTCTATTTGGATGGTAGAGCAATTATATATAGAAATTTAGCAAACTGTACTCCATTCAGGTTTAGGTTTACATGGATATATTTCACTTCGTACTTCAAAACTGTTTGAATTATTGTTATTTCAAAGTAATATTACATGTATAATATATAGGTACCAATCTGCTTGACGAAAACTCTCCATGGACAAAAAAATCAAGTTATATGTAGAGGGTGTCCCAAATCCGAAAGTGACCATTGGGATCTAGGAAACCGTAAGAGATACAAAGTCGGTTAAATTAAGGCAAAGTTGCTTAATTTGGTACTCTTCGAAATTATGTTTCAAAATCTGTAAAATTTCCAATAATTCCGGAGATATCCAGAAAAAACCGAAACTGCGCCATTTCGCATAGCAATTTTTTACGCTCTACGTCCGACGTTTCATTCTTCAGAAACCATTATCAGCTTTGTTTTTTATATAGACCGATTTAATGAAATACCCTGTATTCAATGGAGCTTTTCGAAACGAATTCAATAATATATCACAATCCATTACTTGAAAATTTTTAGTCAAAAATAACGATTTTATTTCATTTTTACTCAAACAGTAGGCCATGCCAAAGCGACAGCCAGGTAAATGACTGAAATGAAAGGCGGCTGTGGATCGAAATAAAAATGTTATTGTTTAACTAGATCATCTTTCTCTCCTCTGTCTTATTTTGAATCACGAATAATGTTCCTTTCCGAATCTATCTTGGTAAAAAAACAATGACAGTTTCATATGTATTGCCCATGTTTGAAATCAATCTATATTTACTTATGATCTTTCCAGATATACAAGTACTTGAAAAATCACTTGAGTACACCCTTGATATGCTGTTTCCCCAATATTCTGAAAAACAATAAAATGTGTCCAAAGAAACGATGTACAAAGTACAACTGAGAGTCTGGGAACAATTTATGTTAATAAAGAACTTGACATTAATTTTTTTCAACAATTCAATATGATGTGCAGACTGTTGACATTTTCGAATATCGAGTCCTTATGTAGGCCAAGTTAAAGTGCCTACAAAATACACGAAAGTATCTTGTGTCCATGAAGTTTTTGAACAATAGATTGAGACCTATATTACATTTCAATTCTGTAACTTTCACAGAAAGCCTTCCTTTCATCTTCAACTTCATGTGTTCTTTTGAACAATTAACTGATAAATATAAATCTATTGTGAATGGAGCGATACATACCTCCAGTGTTGGTAGCAGGAATTACATAGGGCCCCCTTCGTGGTCACCTGAGTGACTGTACAGACGACTCCGCAGTTAGAGCACGCGCCACCCTCACCCTGCACACATACAACAATCATACCGACCAAGTTCCGAGCTTATGAAATATACAAGATGTTCCGTGACTCGAGCGACATCGCAAAATATCCGAAAAATTATCTCTACTATATTTTAGTAAATATAAAAGAAAAGGTGTCGTTATTCTAAATTCACATCTACAGTCTGATGTGGGTTCTGTACTGAGAAAAAGTATCATTCAATATATTTTTCTATAGTGAAAAATTGCGTTAAAATTTTGGTAGTTTTTTTTTAAAAAGAGCATGTTTCAGCGTTAGTACTGGAAATTGCCGCTATTTAAGATAATTATTTGAAAATAAATGATGCAGTACAATAAAACAAGTTTTTGTTTTTAGTGGTTAAGGAAAACTTTTGTTAGGTCCAATTTATAATAACAAAAAATAATCCGAGTAAAATACATATATTGCAAAAAAATATTTACAAGAAACATTTCATTGTGTCAGTACTAGTGTTGGAGACAATGATTTGTTTAATAAAATAACTAAAAAGCATTACTAACTCACTTCTTAGAATACTGCCAGGTGATCCTGGAAACGTCCATAAATTGATGCTTTTTCTTAAAGAAAAAAAGAAAAAGATACGATCAGATTTTTAATACATAAAAGAGATGCACATAACAATTAAACCTTATGAAAACGAAAAATATATTTAAGTTAACTGACCATTCAATTTTATTAAATTGAACGTAACATAACATAAGCTTAGTGAGGACATTAAATCCTCAAATATCAATGTCTTTAAAAACCGACTCATGATTTTTCTATTGCAAAAGCATACTACTCTGTGGATGAGTTTCTCCTTGAATTCTAATTTTATTGTAGCTTATTAACTTTTTTTATGTATGTTTATATTGACTTTTTTATGTTTGTTTGACCTGTTGAATCAGTCAGTATTTTATGATTATGTTATGTTTTTTTGTCTAATGTGATTGTGAAGGAAAACTGATTCAATAAATGTTTGATTGATTGATAAGTCGCTGTCTATATTGAGGTGTATGAAATGTTGTTTTTAGTCGATTCATTTCACTCAATAACAATATCTAGGTCACTTGAGATGCCTCAAATAACTGAAAATCAATGGAATGTACTGTCTAACTGAACAACAAACATTTTTACGAGAAACTAGTCGAAAAGTAGAATAATCTTTTATTATTTTTTGAATAAATGTGTTAGAAAAACAAGAACCTCCCATCTGTAGAATTTAGCACATCAACAATCGATGAAAATATTGAGGGAGTGAAGAAAATTGTTATGGAGAATCATTGAACCACTATTAGAGTAGTTGCTGAGGATGTCAGCACATCGGTTGGCCCATGCCATGCAATTTTTTCGGAAATTTTAAAGCGTGTGGCAGCGAAGTTCGTTCCAAATTTGCTCAAAAGAGTCACAACTGGTGACGAATCATAGGTATATGGTCACGACATGGAAACCAAGTCCAATCGTCCCAAAGAAAGAGCCAAGACCTCCAGCAAAAAGAAGAGTAACACAGATTTATACAGGGTGTAACTAAATAAATGTAAAACATTTAAGGAAAAAAGACAGGATCTTTCATATAAAGAAATTTCATTGGAGAATCCCTTGTTAAGATAAAGCCCCTTAAAGGGGGTACATAAAATTTGTATAACAATTTTTTTTCACAAGCACTAAAAAAGACCGCTCGATCCACGGATCTCAATCCTCTCGATTTCTCTATTTGGGACCATTTTCAGCATTTGGTTTATCGTACTCCTGTTCGCGATGTAGAGGACTTAAGAAACCGCATCATCGATGAGTGCAGGGTAATCAGAGAGACTCCAGGAATATTTGAGCGAATACGTGGCTCAATGCGCCGACGTCTAGACGCATGCATGTCTGAAGGTAGACACATTGAACATTTACTATGATTTCTACATGTGTTTTGTTATTAATAAATTAGTTTTGTTTATTACCCTTTAATCGTTTAATGCAGGTACTAACTACAAAATAACAATAAATCCAGTTCGCATTTATGAGGATGTATCTCTGTAGTTGTTCGTAAAATAATTTTAACTGCGAACTGGTTTATTTTGGGCAAAAAACCCAAGAGACATTTTTTGTTAAGAATGAAACAGGCTATCGGAAATGAATTTTTAAATGGTAAACAAATAATAAGACAAAAAGTTACATTGGAAATAAATTTTAGGGGTTGCGTTTTCCACCCCTTACAACCATGAGGTAAACCAAATAAATTACTGGCTAAGCGTCTTTTTGGTAGTACAAAACGTCAGGTTAATTTGAATATTCTAACTTTTTCAGTGCTTGTGAAAAAAAATTGTTATACAAATTTTATGTACCCCCTTTAAGGGGCTGTATCTTAACAAGGGATGCTCCAATGAAGTTTCTTTATATAAGAAAGATCCTATCTTTTTTTCGATGAGGAACCACCTCCTTAAATGTTTTACACTTATTCAGTTACACCCTGTATAACCTTTTGGTATAAATGGTCATAGAAAAGTAACCGTTTGAAACAAGCGGGGTATCAAATGAAACTAAAATTCAAATATTAATTATTATATGCGCCTCTTGAAGTGTTTTCGTCGTAATGTATAATAATTATACATTCCAATCATTGTACGCACAAACAAGACATTTTTCCTATTATATACTACTCTGTAATAGTCTTAATGAAATTATATTGATACCAAAACTGTTTTTACTCATCTATTCTAGAATTACCAAATACGTTATTTAAAATCATCGATATGATTTACTTATTTCCGACTGCAGATATAGCAGATGCAGAACTGCGTATGTATCACATTCATATACAATTTTCAATTTATATTTCATTAAGAATAAATCATACTATACGACTGTTCAAAAAGTGGGGTGAATGTTCAAATTTCGCGGGCTAAGTACATTCGATTGGCGATTTTTATTTTTTTATGTTGGTGCACTAGTCTCGAACAAATGTTCACAGTTTTAGCTGTTTAGTATGTTCAGTTTGATCTTACTCTTGAAGATGATCACTTGGTGATCGAAACACGTGTCAAGGTGTTAAAATAACGGTTTGGTGTTGGAGTTATTTTGTAGAATCATGAAAAATATAACATAAAAGGAAAAAATTATTGAAAATGTAAAATTTTTGAGAATTATAATAAAATAATGGTTGAAAATGGCAGTAATGAGACATTATCTTTAAGAAAACAGTTTCACTGAGGATATTCAAGTCATTGAAAAAAAGACAATTTCAACTGTTCATAACTGTTGACCAAGTTGAGGTATTTATGTTATAAAAATACTAATGGAGGATTGGTTATTGAAACATCTAAGTATTCTTCATCTACTAGGTCGTTTATACGTCCCAGGAATAACCCACAGATGGCGAACTGACCTTCAAATGACACATGTCAATTTTTCACGTCAATCGGACCAGAAACAGCAAAGCTACTGTGTTTAGAGTGACGCTATTGTTTTTTAATGAAAAAAAAAAAAACAAAAAAAAACGAAATATGTGTGTTATCAACACATTGATAGTCAACATAAAGAATACCCGACATTATAAGCAATGGCTTGAAAAATGTTATCTGTACTCTGCTCTGTCGAAAACAACGATTCGCCGATGGTTAGCTGATTTCAAATTCTGTCGCACTGTTCAATGTATTTATTCTGCCGTCATTTTAATAAATATTGTGGACTGCCCATTCTGAAAGTAAATAAATAATTTTAAACCCACTTTCTACAAAAACGAAGTTTTATATTTTTTGGCATTTCTAACAAAAAACCTGAAAAGTAGATATTTATGTAAAATCTGAATAAACTATCTCCACTCGATAGAGTATTAATTATTTTATAATACAATAGAGCTAATAATTTTTAGGATATGTCACAATGTCGCAAGACGAAACATACTGTATAATGAAAGTGAGTTATAGCAGAATATGATAAAGGTTGTGAAGATAAGTGGAAGTGTACAACACTTTTATGTACAAGTACTGTGCACGAATCGGTAGGGACGGGAATAATGCAAGGATACGGCATGCAATGCTTAACCATGTCCCATATTCAATGACTAATTGTTAATATTCGAAAATACAATGATTCATTTTCACAACTAGTTTATCCAATCTTAAATTTTTTCATTGCAAAAAAATAACTTGGTATTCATTAAAGGAACTAATTCAGCTAATAACAAGTTTTCTGCAAATATTTAACTGCAGTAAATGTTAAAAAAAAATTCGAACAATGAACGTCAGAACTTCTAATATCATCACCTTTCTTTTCAAAATTACTTCGTTGAAAATAGGACCAAATGAGTATAATATATATGTCAGTCTTTCACTTTTTACAGATTGGAGGACACATTGAGTGAATTTCAATTTATTCATATTTCATTATCATATTGCAATGATGAAATAAATATTCTCAACATATTCAAACAAGAATTAACACTCAAAATATATAAAAGAAAACTATCAAATCAAGTTGAAACACAAATTATTGAAAGTTTTAATGTTTCATGGCTAGAAACTTGTGAAATGTCCTGTTTAAGATTGGTGTCTTCTTTCAAAAACGTGAAAGGATTATTTACCTTTAAAATAAGCACGGAGTAAAATTGTAAAATCCTGAGTTACTAGCGTTTGTTATATTTTAGCAACCACCATTTTTATTGAAACATCTGGAGTGTTTTCCACCTATATGAAATTTTTTGAATGTAAAAAAGGAGAAAACCTAATTGATTTTGGGTCCTACATCCCAAAAACAAAATAATAGCAAGATTAAAACTACAATTTTATCATATTTTCTTGATATAAGTGTATTTTTCTACAATTCTGTAGGATGAGAACATGCAATATGGTATATATAGCCAAATTTAAGAGCTAGACTGGACATACAGAGTACAAAGCCGGTTCATGTATAAATTCAACAGAAATTGTGGGACCCATCGTTATTGGTAACATCCAGCAAGTTATTAAAATAAAAACAAAGTGTAGAAACAGCCGACAGCAAGATTTGATAAACTT